AGAGAGAGAGAGAGAAGGGACGTCGTTGCGGCGCGAAATTGCGAGGCGGGCCAAGCTTACCGTGACACCGTCGAAGCTTGTATTCCTGAGGGCATCGAGGAAGAGCTTCTCCCACAATACGTCCCTGTACCGAAAGTCGGATATAGTCTGGTTACGATGGAAGTGTCGTATCCTGCGCGCGACGTGTTTTACAGCCAGCGCGACCGTCCAGATACCGTCGTACGTGTATCCGTGAAATCTGGAATATTCGTTGCCCCGCCTCGAGTCGTACTCGGCCTGATACTGGTCCGGGGTCTGAGAATGGGAACGCATCAAATCGAAATGCGCCAAGACGCGCAACAGGCGTGCGCTCTCGCGTATGACGAGTATCAAAGAGAGTATCGGTCTTATATACGTCTTATTTCCGTTTGAATCGGCTCTCGATCGCTCCGGGGCGCGATTAAACGCAATTTTCGGGGGACCCGTATTCGAGCGGAGAAATTTCAAATAGATATGCATACGATACTACAGAATTACCTTTCACCGGATTCTTCAGCCAATCTGAGTCTCGATTTTTCCGATTAATCCTTTTCGGGATCGTATTCGGCTATTCACGTGAAACGGAAGAAATAACATTCCGTTCCGTCTCCGTTCCGTTTTTCCGTCGAGAAAAGGAGAACCGCGGGTATGATTGAATCAGGACTTTTGAAGAAAGAGAAACGGTTTTCCGAATTCTAATTCACAGTTGAGGTAATTTTCCGAAGTTGAATGACTCGACTTTTCGCGGAGCGATCAGCGCGGATTTAATCGAAAACCAACAATGCGGATTCGGGGTGGTGCACTCACGATTCCAGACGTGGTGTGCTGCTCCTCGGTCGTGAGCGGGAGCAAATCCGTCAGGATGACACCGTGGAGGGCCTCGGACAGCTCGGAGGGAGCGCATCCGCTGTCCGGGCGCAACCACCACTCTCTGGTGTACGTCCCGATGATGACCCACTGATACTTTCTGCCGTATAAGCCGAACCTGTAAGCTTCACAGAATATCCGCCTAGCCCATGCCTCGTTGAAATTTCCCAAGAGAATCCTCACGTCTCTTTCCTTAAGCTTCTCGAGCGCCGTTGTCACCTCTGTAGCAAAACTCTGTGTCTCCACGAGCTCCATTTTGCTCTCGTCCAGATCGGCCACCAGCCGATTGTGCACCTGGAAACACGATTCGTAGGAAGGGTACGAATTTCTCTCTCTCTTCTCTTCTCTCTCTCTCTCTCTCTTCTCCGCATGAGAGAGAGAGAGAGAGAGAGAGAGAGAAAGAGATAAAGCTCTTGGCGCTTTCAATCCAAAATGCTTATCACGTGCCATAACGTGAGCGCATTCGCGCGTTTAGCTTGTTCAAACGGGCCGCTAGCGACGGCAAATCTCCATTTATAATGTAAATGGAACAGTTGCTGCATATACATCACCCACGCCCGCGAGCGCGCGTGGAAAACGACGCGCTCTCACGACGGGATTAATTAACCCTTTCATTTCACCGAATTGCTTCCAACTGTCGAGAACCGTTGTTTGAATCACTTTCTTAATGGTATCTAACGTCTCGAGATTTTCAAAACATTTCTACTCTTTTGGTAAATTCATTGAGTTTTCATGCCGTACAGACAGAAGCATGAATATGCCCCGTAGGAACGAGGTCAGAGAGTTGTTAACTTTAACTACATTTGCAACGAAGGTACGATTTTCGAGGAGAAAAAAAAATGTAAGAGATTTCTTTTACGTTCTTTCTTAACGTTTCTTATTCTTTCCTTTTTCTCATTCGAAAAGGTCCGACCGAGTGAGTCGGAGTATTGGTGGTCTCGCGGTAGAAATTGGCTTTACCAGTGCGTATCTGGGCTCGTTCTGATAAATCGTGCCGACCCGGGTCCAGTTGAAATGCGTGAGCAACGCCACTCGCGGTGCATTCAGGGCGTTTTCCGACGGCACGACCCTAAAGAAATTCGGGAAGCTATTGGTTGTGAACATAGGATGGGTGTCCGCGTAGCTGAGCTGCAACAATAAGGGTAGAGAGGATATTGGTAAAAAAAATCCCATCTCCCTAGTGCTTGTTTCTGTTCTTTTTTTCCACTCTCTCCCCCCTCTCCCTTCCCTCAAGGATGCGTTTGCACGCGTGTCTGTGTGTGAGTATGCAAATAAGCGTGGAGCAAGAAGGAGAGAACGGTCTCCCACAAGTCATGAATATTTACGACGACGTTTTACCGTCGCATTACCTGCGTAAGGCGCCAGTGTTTCGAGGCTTTCGCTATCGGATCCGTGACTTGTGTGCAAGCACCACCGAAGAGTATCACCTTGTGCGGCCCGTTATGCATCATGTCGAAGAACGCCTTCATCCCGACGGCGGCGCTACACTGCAACACACGCGATTTGTTATCCATGTTTGTTTCCGTTAATGCTCTCCGTGTCACAGAGAGACAGAGAAAACACAGAGAGAGAAGAGAGAGGAGGGTGGGAGGGATGGGAGGGAGGGAGGGAGGGGAGGGAGGGAGGGGAGGGAGGGAGATCTAAAAATTTAAGACGTATTCAAGAGCGTTAGGAGGAACGCGTCTGAGGAAAATCAAGGAAACGTCAAAAATACAGAAAAACAGAAAAACAGAAAAACAGGAAAACAGAAAAACATACGAGAATGACAAAAAATGTTAGGCGCGACATCGCGAGACGCGTCGTATGCCTTTTTTATTCACATTTTCACGGTGTGTTTGCGTCAAGATGAAAAGTGATCATTTCTTATATCGAAAATCCTCTTTGATATTTGCAGAATCAACAAGTGTTTGTTGGTGTAAAGCCAGAAAATGGAGAAGAAGAACGAAGAACAGATGCCAAATCGGTAAGGAGAAAAATATTATCGTAATGTCGACGTCATCCTAATTAGCGAGAGATTAGCCGGAACGCTCGAACGCGGGATTAAAATTGTAACATTAATAAACGCGCGTAAACTCTCTGATTTTATTTACGTCGGAGGAGGAGGAAGCAAGGGAGAATTCTAACTATTCATGCCGTAATGGTTTTTCATAATAAAAACAGAGAAAGTATTTTAAATATCCCGTCGCAGGAAGAACTTTGTTCTCTCAAAAGTTGAATTTTTGCAGGAATAAATTTAATGCGAACGGATATAGGCGCTTTGCAGCCTTGTAGCTGAAATAAAAACAGCTAAAGCTGACAGAAATGATCTTTGAGCTGTTGAGTTATCTCGACGACGGACGATCATCGGGACTGGCATATAGCATATTCCGTTTGAGTCACGGTGTCTACGTACTCCTTTGATATCAGCACGGTTTCGAGTGTTCTTTTTCACGTGAAAATTGATTCCAACGTATCGCTACTTTCCCTTTGCGCTCGCCGTGGATGACCCCGTTTCGAAAGGCAAGATGTAAAGGGATATAATTGTACGGATGAAAATAGGAATTCTACTTTTGGCAGAAACGGGACGGAGCGCTGAAGGAGTCCTTTCCCCGCGCGGACGGAGCGCTGAATCTATTATGAGCGGTCTGAGATTTCCACGAAATCGATCAAGATTATTTTCAAAATGGTAGTCGCGCGATTCGCGCGAACAATTTTCTGAATCGCTCCCGCCGCTGTTCATTATCCCTCTTCCCCATTGCATTTTCCGCCCTCGTTATTCCGTCGCATGCTACTTATTATCTCGCGTTAATTAATTCTTTATTTAAAAATATTCGTAAAGGAGACAGCGCGCAGGAGTGCTCAAAATTTTTTAAAAATTATATCCGCACATTTACCGCTGCCTAGGAGATTCCGTCTCGCGTTTATCGCACGTCCCCTCGTTCTATTTTACATCGATTTCCGATACATTGGTTATCACGGAGCAGAGATAAAAATCCGTCCTTGGAAATTATGTTATGAGAGAGAATCGTCTAACTCGAGGAAGAAGTCTAAGTTCATTAGTCGCCGTTTAACGATCAGCATATTGGAGATCTGAACAGAAGAGTGAATCCGAGGTCTGTGTTTTAAATAACTCGCAACATGCTATAAAAACGGAGGAGAGGCATCCTTTTATCGACTTTGAATAACGAGCATTATATCTCGAGACTGTCGCATTGTCGCGGCGAATGGAGTCCGCCGTTACGAGAAAAAGGGTGGCATCCCTTTGCGCTTAGCGATATCTCGGGTTAAATCACGGAAGCGATATTCATCCAACGGGGCGGTAGATCCCTTAATTATGCGATTACGTGTCGTCGAACGTCCCATGCGGAAAATTTCGTCGCTTCGAAAAGCGGCAATTTTCCTTCCGGCGAGGGAGAATGGGAAGAATTAATTTTAAACTGCATCGCCCGATTACACGGTTGAATTAATCAAATCCGATGCGCATCGATCGGCCGGCGAGCGAAAAAAAGAATATGTTCGCGGTGAAAAATATACAAAAATACCCGGAGGCGTCTGCACGCGCGTGTTTGCTGACAGTAACTGGCAGTGTATTTGAAGCTGCCACGTGGTTCGCCGGTACGTCGATCGTACATCGGGGCATCTCACAATATCCTTTCGGCAAGTAATCGGAAGCGATTAATCTTTCCCGTCTTCGCGTACAAGCTGCTCCACTTTTTGTCGTCAGCTCAGCTTCCACCAGAGGGTCTAACTTCGAGACTCTCATAATTCGATATGTCTGGATGTCTCAGCGATTTTCCGAGCGTGAGCGCGCCGCGTCGTAAATCGCGCGACACGGTTCTCCGGGTTCAGCGAACGAGAAATTATGTTAAAAAAAAAGATAAAAAAAAAGAAGAAGAACATCGTTTCACGGCTGTTTACCTTCCATTGCGAGGAAAAGAAGATAATGCTATATTACGTGGTTATGCACAGATTATCGTTAAATATATATATATATATATATATATATATATATATATGTGTAA